CAGGTTCATAACACTCTGATCTGATGCTTTGCTTAAAAAAAAAAAACATTGTTACATTAAACCAGTGTCCCTGAAGGGGGAGCTTGAGTTACAATTGTGACAAGGTTATTTGCGCCATATAAAATTGCTTAGCATTAGCCAGTGGGCCATCCTGTCGTAACACCGCCCATTTTTTTTTGTATGCGGTCAATGTATTAAAGGGTCAGAGAAAAAAATGAAGAGGGGAATGTGTGTAACGAAAGAAACTTGTATGCTCATATTTGCTGTGAATTTAACATGCATTGGTATAACACTTATTGTGAAGTGTAGTCATGACAAATTTCACTTTTCTGCAGTTTCAATTATCAGTGGTTGTTGTAAATTTGGCTTCGTGTATGTTTCTTATCCCAGTGTTTTTATTGTTACGTGATTTGTGCTGATATGGTGGCTTTCAGTGGTCTTTTCTTCTTTGATGCAGATATTGATGATAACTGTTTGTGGTCTGTGGATTATATGCTTTGTAACATTCTGTTTTCTTTAATATCATTTTTTTGTTTTATGTTTCAGAAATTTTGGTTGCTTGTTTTGTATTTACATTAATATGAAATAAAAAAAAATATCTAAATAAATTAATCTATATCAAGCTATGTGTAGTTTTGTTTCATTCTTCTCAGGGGGGCTGTGTGATCTTGAGCCATGGTGTCCGCCTCGAGTGCTGGAGGTCCTAGGTTCAAGCCCCGGTAAAGGCGAGGATTTTTTCCATGTGGACTTCTAGTAATTTCCCCTGGTCTCTAGGTAGTAAGATCGGATGCCTGTGTGTATTGTTGCGCACATAAAACATCCCTTGGCAGTTGGAAATTGAAACAGAGTAGCCTAACAGGGCTGCCCGGGCAAAATTTTGAGTTAAAAATCTACTCAAAGTATTTCAGGATCCTCGCCGGTGCTACGTAGTTCATGCACTGCGCTGAGATTCTTCGGACTCCGGCTTAAGTCAGAAGTAGAAGGGAGCACTTACTACCCTTGTGCCATGATGTTGATCTATCATCTAAACCATCCTCTCTACACTAAGTAAGAGGCTTAGGTGATGTGGTTCTGTGCAAGAATGCTGAGAAATTCTTCTTTCAACGCATTATTATTCTACCCAAGAATGGTGAGAGATATGTTTTTAAAAGAGTTATATAAAAGAGAAATGTGGTTCTATAGAAGAATATGTTCTATAGAATCATGAAGTGCTTAATGACATGTGCAGTCAAGCCAAAATCTTCAACAGCATGTATTTGATCATGTGCTCTCTATGCGGAAAGTTTTGGTTATTCTCTCCCTTCTGGCCATAACAAATTGCTACCAAGAATCTTCATTTTGTCTTCCTCTCTCTTTGATCACAAGTTCCATTTTTTTTCTTCTCATAATATGACCAACAAATGATGAACATCTCTTTCTAGTACATATCATATACTGTCTTAAAGCCCTCGCTTCTTTCATAATTCTGTTGAAATTGAATACCAAGGTATAATTCTACAGAAAATTTAAATATTCTGTAAAAGAATCTTTCTGGGGTCTGTCATATACTGTCTTAAAGCCCTCGCTTCTTTCATAATTCTGTTGAATACCAAGGTATAATTCTACAGAAAATTATTTGAATGTTCTATAAATAAATCTGTGATTCTATAAAAGATTGCAAAGAACATCTCATAAAGCTGTTACTGTATAGCAGAGTTATTTAACTAAGTATTTGCAAGGGCAAAAACCTTGCAAACTGTCACGGACCAAAGGCCACAAAGAAAGATCATTAATATAAAATAAAACTGGAATGATGTGTGGGCCACTTTCTATGCCTCCGAGGGCCAGATTTGGTTAGAGGGCCGCCAGTCAAATAGCCCTGCTGTTCAGATTCACGGCATGCATCAGGGATTTGAAAAAAAACTGCTTTTTGTCAGTGTCCATTATCTTACGCCTGCGGCCACATGATTTATTCAAGTGTGGATGGGGTTGTTCTTTGGTGACAGACCTCAACCGTCACACTAAGTGATTTCATGTTCATAAATGTTTCATTGTCCGTTTATATCTTCGCTGATGAAGGCTTTTTAGCCGCAATATTTATTTTGTATTTATGATTTTTGCATTTTGAAGCAGACTAGTACAAGTCTAGGTTTACACTGTTTCATATAAAACTGCTTGCACACAACAAACTTTCTCAACCAGGTGACTACAGCTTAAAACTGGTTTATTCTTCCCAAAACAATGTTTGGTCCAAGAGACAAATGTACAAGAATGCAATACAATAACCAACACTGTACAGTTATATATTTCAAGATTGACCATCAGTTGACACTAAAATCACTTCACTTAATGACCTACCTTTAAAAAAAAAAAAATCAGCCTCATGGCCTGTTGTTCTTTGAGACCTACTGAAATCAAGCCAACACAAAACCTGGTACAGAGCTTAATAAATTTGCAAATTCAACACCGCCTCAGATGATCACCCTGAAACAGGGTTAGTACAAGTAAGTTTTATAAGAGGCCAACATTTTGAAAAGAGAATCATCAGGGGCCATAAACACGAGCTCCAGCATGGAAAGCTCATTGATACAATACAATGATCGGTGGGCCCCCTGCTAGGCCTGTCAGTTGAATAGCCCCATGCGAGACCATTATAAATCACACGTTTGGTCTGTGGTCGTTATAATTTCACCATTTATCAGAAGCACAAAAACAAAATAAAACCATGCTGTTATTGTAGTTTGTATACAAGACTTTTTTTTAAACTAAATTTTATGTGCCCTTAAGTCCGGGACACCCAGATGTACTTTGGGCAAATTCCTGCCCTTTTCAAAGTCTGAGATTACAGGAATTCAAAATTGTATAAGGACAACATTAAAAGCAAAGTGCAGCAAGGCAAATCTATGACATCCTACTCCTGGATGTCCACATGTCTGTGAGGTTAAACAACAAAAACCAGCACTAACATTCATGATGTATGTACAGAAATGCTAAACAAGATCAAAGTTAAACAAACATTCGTTCTTTTCATGCAGAATCTGGGGTAATAAGCCATCACAGAAAAGGCACATTGAAAGAGACAATTCCACCATCAAGTCAGAGTTCTAGAGCTTGTAGCAGTATTAGCCACTGCATGTAGAGATTACCAGATCTGATCAACAACATCTGGATATGCAAATCTTTTCTCAGGTTATGTCTATGTGTGAACTTGGCAGTTCTGCTTCACCACACATCAATGTAGCAATCATATATGGTCACCAATGGCACAAAAAGTATAGATCACCAAAGTCTCTGCAGAAAGTGGTCCATTCCTCACTGCCTTTGCAGAAACTGGTCTACCAATGTCTATGGCAAAAAGGTGTAACTTTATCTCTGTCTCCAAATGTCTACAACATAAGTGTCATGACATAATGTTTTAACAGTTCCAGATAAAATAATAACAGGACAAAACAAGGCCACAATACTCGCAGGGGATGTGAGGTGACAGAAATTTCAGACATACTAGGTCACAATATGAGATAGGGTCTCCAGCCCTGCTGTTCCTTGCCACATTTCACATATGCAGACTGAACTGCTATTCAAGCTATCAGAATGATCAATCATGAAGCAACAGCAGTCAGGGGACCCCCCCACCCCCCCCCCGCCCTCCCAACAGTCGAGTCCATAGACTGAAAAAAAAATCAAAAAATAATTAAATGCTACTGTGGACACATTTGATATTTTCAGCCTATTTAGCCCAGTCTGGTTATTTTTAACAGTTGAATTTATAACCTCATCTTGCTAGCACTCAAGAGCTTCTGGCCATGTACCTTTCTTCTAGAAGTAATTCCCAGCCAGGGATGGCAGTATGTTAGTAACATCCTTGAAGGAGACAGTAGCAGCTGTTCTGACAGTAATTTTTCTCTGACTTGAAAGAAACCAGGCACCTTTCTGAACCACAGGCATCACCATATGCCATAGCATTCACGTAACATTGTGCTTGAACTTTTACTTATTATACAAACAGAATAGCTGGGCATGTCTTACAATAAACAAAACCACACACAAAAATATGCAGAAAGAAAAACAAATGATCGTGGTTGTGCCTCATACTAGTCCGATGAGAAAGAGAAAAAAAACATGATTTAAATAGACAAGAAAGCGTCTTATGTACAGAATGAAGAGCTGTAGGACATGACCATTTAAAAACAAAACGGAAATTGTACATCTGCAAGCATGGCACCACGTAGTTTAATCGTCGTCAACTTCATCGTCATCATCAACCTCTTCATCGTCATCATCGTCAATGTCCTCTACTTTAGCCTTCTTTGGGGACACCTTTGGAACAGCGCTGGCACCACCACCTCCACGATAGGAAATCATGTCCTGTGAAGTTATAAAAACAAAATCTGTACAATGTTAACTAGCCATGTATGCGATGGTGGTTTCCATGCGTAAATAACTACTTGTGAAATGCGCTGTCTCCGACGGGTTACTAACAACACTATACTGGCCATTGCTCAGGGATTTCATGTCAACAAAAACCTATAAAAATGGGAAAACTGGTTAACTAGATCATTTCAAGCTACAACAAAGTGTTTATCTGACCCCCCCCCCCCCCCCCCTCTCTCTCTCTAGTGAAGGAAAAAACAATATCCTGATCTGTGAGAGCACTCAAAGCAATAATGCTAAAGTCTTGTAAGGTCCCATAACTACAGAGATGGTGTCAGCTTTCATGTCCGCCCAGACTTGCCTGTGTATTGGTTCAATTATTTTAATGCCATGATCTTAAACCACAGCCACTTATCACTAAATCTATCAAGTTTCTTTGCCCTTTCCAATGCTGATATTTCCAATCACCAAAGTTCCTCACTTAAAACTTAAGGAACACTTGTTCCATTCTTACAGTTTCATGTGCTGCATACATTCATTAGTCTGTTCCAGGCAAGTAAGGGGAAACTTCAGTGAACTGTGAATTAAATCTATCCAGCTTAATAAACAACCGATATTTGAAACTAAATTAAGCTAAAAGAGATACTGACCCTTTCGTATCTGGCTTTATCTTCCTGAGCCAACTGTTCAAACTTTGATTTGTTGGGGCACACTTCCCATTTCTTGCCCAGCTCTTTAGCCACATCAGCAACACCTATACCGGGGTTAGCAGCACGGACGCTTGGGCGCTCCTCGGCACAGAAAAAGAAAAAGGCTGACCTAAAGAAGATGAACAATAAAACACATGTGTCACTCGTGGAGCCGTTACAATGTACTCTACAGAATATTTACATGTGTTTCTAATAGTTTGTGCTTCTTCTGCATTAGCCTCAAAAACTATGGTTGGCACGTGGTTGTGATTTTCTGCACCTTGCAGTCCAGTACATTTCATTTAAAGACTCAATTAGTTGCTTCTTACGACACGTTCATTAGAGGGCAGTGTGTCTACCCCAGTGTGTCTACCCCAGTGTGTCTACCCCAGTGTGTCTACCCCAGTGTGTCTACCCCAGTGTGTCTACCCCAGTGTGTCTACCCCAGTGTGTCTACCCCAGTGTGTCTACCCCAGTGTGTCTACCCCAGTGTGTCTACCCCAGTGTGTCTACCCCAGTGTGTCTACCCCAGTGTGTCTACCCCAGTGTGTCTACCCCAGTGTGTCTACCCCAGTGTGTCTACCCCAGTGTGTCTACCCCAGTGTGTCTACCCTTCCACATAGAGTGCTGGAGCCCACACAGGGATCCTAACAGTTTAATAACAGGGGTACATTTCTGCCATACACAATCAAGATCAAAGATAGGTATTTGACGGGCTATTGTTTTTGTCCACCTGTGTGTTACTGGAGCTCATAAAGAGAGCAAACAATAGTCACACTGTGACCCACCATGCATGTCACAAGAGGCAACTAAAGAAGGTTGTTCCTTCAAAGTTGAAGCGCATCTGCCTGAAAGACAAGGAACCAACAGTCTGCAAACAAAAGAGTCAGAACTGTAAAATGGATGTGCGTGCAACCCTCAGGTTCTGGAACAGGACAAAAGTCAAAATATAGATGAATAACCTGCCAGTACTCTCTAAACCAGAATTTAAAAGCAGTAAATGCAAAGGAGAAGATCCTCATGAGACCTCATTTCCGTAAAAACTTGAGGTGTACAACCCAGCAATGTGGAAATGTCAGGCGCAACATGATCTGACTGAATGTTTTTTGTTTCTTCAATGGGAGATTACAGGTAGGAGAGGAGGTACTTTTTAAAAGCTAGACTAACATTATGACAAACACAAGCAAGACCATTTAGAACAGCACTTCTCAACCGTCGGTCGCAAACCCTTTTTTAGGTCGAACGATCCTTTCACAAGGGTTGCCTAAGACCATAGGAAAACATTCATTTGGATTATGTTTGGGGGTCGCCACAACATGAGGGAACTGTATGAAAGGGTCACAGCATTAGGCAGGTTGAAAGCCACTGAATTAGAACATCATTTACACAAAAGAGAGCGATACTGAAGATTTCAGAGAGAATTTGTCATGTTATCTATCTTAAGAGTGTTTGCAAAAAGTCAACAAGTCCCAGGGGGTTTAGCATCACAGGCCCAGGGGGTAGTAAAGAACGTAATAAATCGGTGCATCATGCGTTCATTGGGCTTCTAGCTAGGAACCTATGAATGTATGATGCGTTTCTTGGGACTCAAAGAGTTAAATAACACATGAACGTTTTTGTTTTTTTTGGGTATGTGTGCGGCCCTAAGTAAATTTTTAAAAAATAAAAGGTTGCTACAGTCCTGTTGTACATCAGGCAATGTTCATGAACAGTGTCAGAAACGATACAGATCTGCAAGTTATATATGGAAGGTAACAGTCTAACACATAAAAAAGATACACTAAAGATCACTAGAAACAAGGCCAACTGTACATAAAATCATCAGATCACTAACAAAAATATGCACACACACACACAGACACAACTGATAGAGAGAAACACAATGCAAAAGGAAAGTTACTACTGTAAGTACCCAGTAATTACATAAGACAATTAATCAAACTTACAAAGCTCTTTTTGGTGCATTAGGGTCTTTTGTCCTCTTCCTCTTTTTAGTCTGACCCCCGACTGGTACATAGGATGACATCTCTCTTTCATATCTGGCTTTATCTCTCTCTGCCATATCTTCAAACCGTTTCTTCTCTTTGGGAGTCATCTCCTACAATTAGAAATGTCTGGTCAGCTTTTCATTTTCTATTTAAACTTTAATATACAAGCACATAGTTATTTAAACACCATTTCATTATTAAACGAATAACATAAGAATCTCAAACCACAATCACAAGCAGGAAATAAAGAACACTTCCAAATATTCTCTTCAATGAGTACAGACAACATACATTGCACAATGAATTCTTTCCATGTGTTTATCAGGTGCATACTACAGAATTTTAAAAAATAATTTATGCATATAATGAAGCACCAAAATGTATCATTCAGGCTGATATACACACATTTATCACATGATACAGTCATCTTTTGAAGTGGTCTAGATTCCTCATGAGGGCCCTGGCCCCATCTGGATGTTGGGGGTGGGGAGGGGGGGAGAGAAGGAGAGATAGAATATAACCATTGCCTTTAACAAGCTTGTAAAAGTTGACTAGAAGTGTTTCCTGTAAAAGTTGGAGTGCATCTGCCTGAAAGATGACAGAGCAACAGTTGCACACCAACAAGCCAGATCTATAAAACAGATGTGCATGAAGACAAGTTCTGAAACAATACAAAAGTTGACAAGTGGACGGAGAACCAGAACTCTCCACCTAATTCACAGTCAGTGAACATGGAGAAGTACAAGTAGACTCATGTTTGGTGGTAGTACAGCAGCAGTTTACTATCAAGTCTGAAACTGCTAATGGTCATCTGCTCGTGCAAGGCTTGTAGATAATTGACTACCAGCCCTTGTCATTACAAAGCAGCACTGCAGATGTTTCTTTGCAACATGCCAACAGCTTCAGCTCCCTCCTATTATGCATTATGTGGGTCTCAAGATTTTTTTAAAAAAAATAATGATGTCATGAAAATGGGGATACTACTACTATGGAAAATTCTGGTTGTTCATCCATCTAGACTTTGGCTCTGTACCAGGGTCCAAGTTTTGCTTGTACATCTATTTTACTGGCCTGTGCAGTTCCTTGTTCCTTGCCACTCAGGCAGATGCACTTCGACTTTTAAGGAAGTCCCCAGTTAGTCAACTCTTACAATATGCTTGTTGGGAAGGCAGGGGGTCTATTCTTGGGCCCCATCCCCCACCTATGGGTCCCCGGAACGCACACGGGGAAAACACACAAATACAAGAAACTAATGAAATGTAGATGCACATACCTTCCACTTCTCTGCACATTTTTTGGTGAACTCAGCAAACACAACTGTATCATTGGGGTGCTTCTTCTTATGCTCCTCACGGCAGGTTTGGACAAAGAATGCATAAGATGACATTCTGCCTTTGGGTTTCCCTTCATTGTCTTTTTTGCCCATGATTTAATAATAAGATCTTGATATCAGTCTGAAAACAAAAGTTACGTGTTTAGTGACTTGTCAACCATACAGATGAACTAGAGAAAATTCAGTACATTAGGAAGTATAAGCAGAAAATTCACGATCTTAGGAAATATCATGTGAAGGATTAAAATGTTCAATCAATCAATTGATCAATCAGGTGTCGCTTTAACAATGAAGCCTGGTGTCTGTCACAATGGATGTACCATCTCACAGATTGTTGTTCAATCATCTCTTGATGTTCTCTGACCACTTGTATTGCTGTCTACCTCTTGCTTTTGACTTGACCCATGAATAGTTTTTTAAAGAGTGTTGTCTTTTAATACGACCTAAATATTTGATTTGTCTCTATTACTGCCCTCAATTTTTGTTATCTTAGTCCTCTCAAACCCTCTATACCTGATTGTTTTTGCTTCTATAAAATAAGTCTATTCTTTTGTATACTGACATCACAGAATGAAAATGTCACCTTTTTTTTTTAACAACCTGCATACTGCCCTGGTCTCTGCAGGAAATGTCAGAACAACAGTAAAGTTAAGAAAGACTAGAGAAAAAAAATGCTTGGCTTATAACTTACTGCACTGAGAAATATCCCCTTACAGTCGACATTCATAACAAGAGGTTTTGGACAAACAATATGTTACGTGCATAAGGAGAAAAAAGTGCTAGCTAAGGTTTCTTTTCCACCCGCTTGAACACCCATGGTTATAAACTGTTTATCTACAACATAATATCATCAAGATATTCTCTGTCTATTTTGCTGAGTTTTGGGCCAGCCTTATGTAGTTAACAAGAAATGTTTTGAATATGATGTATAAAGTTCAATTATTAAATCTAAGGTTCTGATCAGTTTTGCAGTCTCACTTTAAGTTAAGCTAACTCTACAGCAGAGCTATTCAACTAAGTTTACCCTGGGTCCAAAATGCTGAAAACGGGGATCATCAGTCATGGGCCAGAGACCCGAGTCAGAGCACAGAAAGAAAAAACAATGATCCAGGGACCACCTGAAAGGCCTCCACGAGCCAAATGTGGCCCACGGTCTGCCAGTTAAATAGCCTTTTGGCTGGTGCTTTCAATGCATCAGTTGAAGAACTATGAACTGATGTATAATATGTACTGTTCAACTATTTCAGTACCAAACAATTTGTCACACGTTCCTTGGTCAATGAAATGATAATATGATGATCGTACTGTCTTCTGTGTCAGAGACAGATGTTACATTAATCATTTGACCACTTCAGTCCTACAGTGTTAAACTCGTTCAGGCCTAATCAATGGCTGTTTTTAAGCTCAACTTGAGACAGAGTGGGTTAAAATAACTGCCTGGGATTGAAAGAGTTAAGTTTAAACTTATGTCTGCCTTCTGTACCACCAAACAACTCACCATGTCTTCATTGGTTACCCCCCGACAAAATCATTTTTTTATTTCTTTTTTAAACTTTTTTTAATTGTAAAAATTGGTGTTTTAACTTTTATCTCAGCTTAACAGGCAGACAGACTGACTGGATCTGCACCAATGGGTGGTGAATTGATACATGACAAGGCAGGTGTGGTCAAGGCCCTTTGAGAACAAGCAACGGAATCAGTAGATATAAAAGATTATGGCCTGGAGAGAATGAGACATCTGGGTACAACCAGAGGGTTTTTGCCGGCTCATTTCACTCAGAGGAAAGGCAAGACGGACATAATAACCAGATTGTGACCGGTACCATCAGTATGGAAACCTAGCTGCTGAAGATGAGGACGGAGCATGCATGGGAATGTTCTGAGTGCTGTCAATTTTTGACTCAAATGTTATATCGGCTCAAGGTAGCCAAATTGTTAGTTAAATCTGTTAGGTTTATTGTGCCCTATAGTCTCCTATTCTGACTACCTCAGCCCTAAACACTGAGTGATCTCACTTTACAATTCGAATTACAAATTACACTTCATGTAGGTATAAAGAGTTAATGAAAAATGACCTGCTGACTGGTTCATACATCATCATCATACTGAAACAATTTCCTCCTGTGCTTTTTGATATTCTATAAGTCCTAATGTACTCAAACTTGTCCCTGGGTGGTATTATACTCAAGTTACTTTCTCATATTAAATGTTTATATTTATATTAAATGTAAGCCACACTCATTCATTCAGTGAAAATAACACATCTTATCTTTTATAGATTATATACTGTGAGTGGTGTTAAATCAAAATGATAATCCATGTTATATTTATATTACTACTAAATTAACTAAAATACATTTTCCCACTTGTAAACTGTAAATAAGTCGGAAATCATAATTATAAATATATAATTATATATGAAATAAATATTCCCTTAAGGCAGTTTGTATTTGACCTGAATAATTAATCAAGATAGTTTAAATTATAATTAACATTTAATTTAACAAGTGGTAACCATTTTTAATTTTAACAAACACTAACAGTCAGTCAAACACAATAATCATAATTCATAATGATAATCATTTGCATTTTGCCTATGTTTACAAAATTGAAATGTTATTTACCCCATCGAATAAGAATAAGCAGGCGTTAGTTATCTCAAACTGCAAGCCTGTGAAAATTATTTTTTTTTTTAAATGAACTTTATGATGATGATTATCGTCATTCATTATGAAATAATATTGAAATATTCGCATTCAACACAACTTTTAACTAGGTCAATGGAACGGCTGCAAATCTGCACCCTTCTGAGTAAATTTTAACATGTTTGACAAAAACGAATTCATATAAAATTATAAAAATAATTACTACTGCTACCTGATCTACAAAATATTTACAGCGAAAAGTAACAGACGAGAACGTGCGCGTCTAGAACGAATGGGGTTTACAAAACAAGCGATAGCTCCCGTAATAATAAAACAACCACTACTACAGCGCGAATGGCGGCAAGAAACATTCAACCATGACAAATTACGAACTCTAATAACGCCTTTCCTTTTTGAATAATCACGCTTCTAGTTGTGCAAATCTAAACAAAAACAATCAATTACCAATTTCCTGTAGTTAAGACACTTTTAATTCTTTTATTTAGTGCAATAAAAGGTTATGTATGAGAAAGACAAGCTTGTGTTGAGTGTTGATTTCCCTATAGCCACTATAGGAGCTTGCAACACTGAGCAGACGTACAGCAGACGGCAATGGAAGCCTTGACTTGCTGTATCGGCTATGGCTTAAGGAATAACGGACGATGGTGGAATGTTTGGCGGCTCAACCATTGACAACCTCTACCCTCACACTAATAACAAACTGCAGCAATTTGTAACTGAATGGTCAAGGATCATAATTTTTAACATTTGAACGACTGCGGCTGTGCCAAACTTGTCAAAAAATAATATTAGCGGACGTCGATTTTTCACCGCTTCTCCATTGCGAAATAATGGCGTTCCTGCTCTATGAAATCCACCACTGGGTCTCAAATTGTCTTTCCGATTTCACCACTAAAAACAATATGCACAAGGAAATAACATGTACACACTTGTAAATTATGACCACCAACAGATTTTTTCATACAACTGAACTTGTAAAAAGGTACAAACATCAAATAAACTGCAGCAACTTACGTCAATATTCAGACTATATAAGACTCCCTATGTGATTGCGAACAGACAAGACAGCCCAGAAATCGACCCCACGCCAGAACGTTAGCTCTCTAGCAGCGGCCTAGTTCAGCGGCTGTACGTCCTCTCATTGGTTGATTTTGAATTCGCGGGTCATGCTCAACCAATGAGAGCCACCGACCTCTGACGTAGACAAGTTCCGTCTAGAATCCACACAAATGGGAATGGCTGTAGAAGTCATCTGACTTTGTTGTGCTTTTTGAGCGGTGATCAAAACTGCACACATCCACTTTATATTTTGTTCATTTTTTTTTATGTTTGTTGTGCTTTGTGGTCTGCGGTTGTGGCTAGGGGGATACGAAGCCAATCGACTTCATGTTCCATCTAGAAAAGTGGTTCTCAACCTGTCAGAGTCATAATCACGCTGGGCCGGGAATGCAGAGACTGGCCAGCAGGTGCCACAGAGGTGGAAATTGAGCAATTAATTCAAGATAATGCTCTCTCAGAGGATTTAATTATTTACACAGACTGTTCAGTGTCAAGAGGCAAAAGAAGTGCTTGGGGCTTCTTAGCAAAAGTTAATGGTCGACGTTTGGTGCAGGAGAGCCTAGCATATGATACCACAACATCCAGCTTAAGAATGGAGGTGGAGGCGGTCACTGTGGCTTTCCGCTGGCTGAGAACACGACACACACACACACATCGTGATTGTAACTGATTCAGAAAGCATGCTGAGCAAGATCAAAACAGGTATGCTTCGTGTAGAGTGGCATGCTTCGCTGCGGAGGACACAGGTGACGAGTATTGTCTGGATTTTTTCAACGGGACACGCCAGTGTGTTGGGAAATGAACAGGCGGACAGACTGGCTGGCTCTGCACAACTTGGTGAAATACTGATACATGATAGGGCAGTCGTGTTTAGTGCCTTGTGGGAGAGCGTGTACAGTTCGGAGGAGCAGATGGATCACCACAGTCTGGTGAGATTGGTGCAGCAGGGAGTGACGACAGGTTCTGGCAGATGCTCGAGGCTCAGAGGAAAGGCAAGACGGAAGTTTAATGAGAATGCTACTGGCACCATTAGTATCGGAACTCTTCGCTGGCTGCTGAAGATGGTGACGGAGCGCTTATGGAAACGCCCCGAGTGCTGTGATGTCGGTTCTTGAATCAAATCAAATCTAATACTGCTACCCTTCAGTACAGTTCTTCGTGTTGTGGCGACTACCAACTATACAATTATTTTCATTGCTACTTCATAACTTCAATGAATATGTGTTTTTCGATAGTCATAGGCGACCCCAATGAAAGGGTCGTTCGAACCAAAAGAGGGTCCATCCCACAGGTTGAGAACCGCTGATCTAGAATCCACACAAACGGTAATGGCTGTAGAAGTCATCTGATTTTTTTTTTACGGTTCTAGGACCTTTTAGTTATAATCAGTGCTACTGTAATAGACAGTACTGAGTACCGGCACCTTTTTATGCACTTTGTGGTGAAAAAAACTTTTGTTTCTAGAAGAAGAAAAAATAAAGCCACGGGGACTGTGAATGTAGTGTCATGATTTTGACATACAGTAAGCAGCAGTAGTTGTAGTAAATAATCAGTTGGCACATTTCCGTCTTTACAGGCGCTAGTGTTAGTTAGTTAGTCGACAGATTATCCTCACTGCACGTCGAACCACTCAGTCCATAAGTTCTCGGACGCTCCCCCCCCCCCCTTTCAGTAAATCCAGCAGTGTGTAGCGGCTGACGACACCCGTCCTGTGTTGGTTTATTATTATTCTTCTTTGGCTCCCCGTGTAGTGTTCTTGTTTGGCGACACCCCGTTTAACTTGCTGTTCTTGCAGATTCACAGTTTTCAGCTAGTTCACGCAAACGTCTCAACTCTCTTAGAGCATTCAGTATATCAGCCTGGTCCATGGCTTGTCCGACGATAGTGTTATATTGTGCTATGAGGAGGCGTGGGAATCATAGCCAACGGCGAGAGTGAATAGCAAGACCTGCTTGTATTAAGAAGCATTTGAAGATGGCACATTGTTACCACGAATCTGCATCAATATCTGTATCATTCATGCCTCACTTGCGAACATCTTCAAATCGCAGAAATCGGCATCTTCTGCTCATCTGTAATTCACCATAGAAGATGTCGTTAGTGACTTTACCATCCTCCAAATGGTGGCCCAATCACCTGAGCCTTTGGGGACTCAACACTGAGAAAACTGTCCTAGTGTCTCTTTTTTCCACTATCTCAGTGTTTGTCATCTTCTTTTGCCACTTAAGCGAGCCGTTGTGAAATAGCGCCTAGATGCACACCTGCGGATCCAAAGGTCGTGGGTTCAAATCCGGATGAGGCTGGACTTTTTATTTCAAAAATGACCTTGGCTTCCAGGTTGACCCGGCCTGTAAACTGTACCAAGTAAAAGTCCTGGGAAGTAAAGGCAGTATCAAATACCGATTGGTCTATAAAATACAAGTTTAGCCATATACCCAATACGCCAAGGAGTAGAGAAGAGTCATTTACTTTTACTTGAGACTTAGTGCCAAGCATCTTTCCTAGAAATCGCTTGTAAAAATGCTAAACATAACATAAAATGTGACTAGAAAACTCAACAGAGGGAATGAAAAAGACGCATACAAACACAAGCGAACGTTTTGACCAAAGGCTTTATCAACGGAGTGCTAAAATACAGCACAAACTGTGACTAGAAAGCTCAACGGGCAAGACAAGATAGCTAATTTAAAAAAACTAAAGTCAAAATGAAACCAAGAAGTACGTAATGAAGGGGAAAGTATTAATGTGAAGGCTATATTACGAAACTAACTAAAAAAGAATACGTGTAAGAAATGAAGGGGAAAATAAGTTTAAAAAACGAACAAGTAAATAAATTAAAGTAAAGTAAACGGTGTTGAATGTTAATCCCTCCAGGACTAAGAACGTCAAAACTATGGATGAAACAAGTTTCTAATGAGTAGTCGCTGGTTTGATCACCAGAGCAGGATTTAATATCAGTGACTGAGATATCTTTTTCGACTTGGTGGTCTGAACTGTTGAAATGGAGGGAGAGAGGTCTGAAAGCCTTATTAAAAATGACAGCAAGAAGTTCACGGAAGGGATATGCTAGCTTCCTACAGGTTTCCCCAGTACATGCCTTCTTACACGGCCAGCTCCAGCCGGACGTGCCTTCTTACAACTTTTGTAGATGCTAAAATCTGATAATCTTAGTTTCAGCTTCATGACAAACGGGTCACCCCATAGTTGCTCAGCTCCTGTGCCAACGAAAAACACGCAAAATGTTTATCACAGTCCCTCGTGGAAAGATTGATGTTGGCATAAATTAGGTTACGCGATTCACAAGTTAATGCTTCTCTAATGTAAAATAAACTCTTCGGGAAGCAGACCGAAAGGGTTTGGATCACAAATGGACATGTTTTACATCTTTTACGGAAGTGTTTGAAAGTACCGTAAGGAATTGATTTCTGGATCGGAGGCAGTCAGTTTCTAACAAGTATGTTCTTAAGATTACAGTTTCGCATGTTGACCACTAAAGATTTCACGGACAGGTGTCAAGATCAGAGCGTAGAATATTAAGGCGACGATGGAAGATTCTAGACACAGTCAAATGATTAGGATCATAAGTTAAGATCAGCTTAGGTCTGTCAGGAAATGGTTTATGTCTAGTGGGCAATGCCTCTTCCCGAATAATGGATTGCACTTTTTGAAGGGCCTCCACGAGAATGTTTTTAGGGTAAAGGCGGGAAAGGGACAAGTCCAGAAACATTAGAACACCACCATCGAAGTCTAAGCAATTGAGAGAATGCTTTAGAATCTTGGCAAGAGAATGAGTGAGAGGATGTATAGAGAAGATAGTTATAAGAATCAGTAGGTTCAAGATGATGTCCAAGAAATTCACGGAAGTGGTGGAAATCATAGAGGTGAATTAAATAGCGGGATTGGAGATGCTGATGAAATTAATGAATTGGTTGAGTTCACCTCTTGACCTTTCAATATTACCAACGCCATCATCTATGTACCTCATGTACACTTCAGGAAGCTTCCCTATGTATGTAGACCAAACCTGATGTTCGAGAAAACCCATAAAAAAAGGCATACTTAACTGTGACCTATTTTGGTACCCATCAGGACACAACTCATTTGGTCAAAATACTCGCCGTTAAACTCAGAAGAATAAATAGTAAGTACTAATTTAGCAACAGCTCTAACATGGATACCAGAGGGAAAGAAAAAAAAGGGTGCCCCAAAAAACAACATATAGACAAACGATGGAAAGTGACCTGAGTGCGGCATCTCTGATATGGAAAACTGCACTGAAGATTGCACAGGACAGGAAAGCATGGAAAGTCCTCATTGAAGCCTCATGTGCCACTAGGCATAAAGAGAACTGTTTGACTTGACTGACTAATTTAGCAAGGTGGACAAGAACCGTAGTGGGGATGTCCGGATTGGTCCTCCTATCAAAAATATAACCTATCTATAAAATATAGGTCTAGCCCTATATGCCCAATACGCATGAAGGCGTGGCAAAGGGTCCTTTACTTTTACTTGTTGCGAATAAGTTGACTAAGTTTTTTTTTTTGTCGCGAGCGTTCTGTTCTTTTAAACTTGTTTGTATTAATTTGCGCATTATAGTTGCTGCCTTGCTTATCCTGACCTAGAAGTCAAATAACTTTATAGGGCTTTTCGAGCGGTGACCAAGACTGAACTCATCCACTTTTGTTTATTCCTGTTTATGGTTGCTTTCCACACTTACCATTGATATCTCCACATTGCATTGCAAGTTACCAGGCGCTCCTGATTTACCCATCTTTTGATGTTAACAATCTGTAGAGCTACCTTTGGTGTGGCTGCTGCATCGAAGGACTGAGCACGCAGGGGGTTGTCTAATGTGCAAAGACGTCGATTGTAATAACATAACAACTGGGTGCTGACTGGTCTATAACTATAACATATAGGTTTAGCACTATACACCAAATACTCCCGAAAGAGCGGAAAAGCGTCCTTTACACCACATAAATAGAAATAAGACTGGCACTGCAAGCGAGAAAAATTTTCAGGTCGTACAAATTTGACTAGCAACCGGTCAAACACTGACAGACGTGAGATTTCATGGAGGAAAACACGGAATCAATAAAATTTGTGTTATCTTTCTGTAAACTGTTAATGTTTTTTGGAATACAGAATTCTTACTGAAACGTCTACAATGCAGTCAAGCACATTTTCTTCGCTTTTAAAAATGTCATCTATAAGGTAGGTGACATTAAAACTGCCAGAAAAGCGAGGAAAACTAGCGGGACAGTAGTTCACGTTAGCGTACCTCTTCTAGACTAGCTACAGCGATGACTATAGACTTTTTGTTTGTTTGTTAAATATTTAGTCTAGTGTGAAGCCAAAGCCAGAGCCTACACAATTCACAAATGTTTAGTGAAAACACATACCGTACTTCATGACTGGTCTCACTGTAAGTCAGATAATATAAGTTAAAAGTCATAGTTCAAGAAAGAAGGATGTTGTTGCAAGTTAAAGGATAAGAAGAGAAAGAGAAACAACAAAATTGCTGTGTGCGTTTCGGTGCACAACAAAAGTTATTGAGCTGCCACTCGCCGTCTCTTCTGGATTTAGGATTATCAAGAAGATTACCGTAGTGTCTACATTCTGAGGAATCTGAAGTTTAAAATTCTTCATTTAATTTGTGTATTTATATAATTTACTAAGACATATTGCAAGCATTAGGATTATAAAAGTGTGGTAACCCATACATTCTGTTCAAACACTGAAGCTAGGACTGGGACAGCATAGTATTAGTAGGTATGTAGTATTAACTATCCTCCAAATAACAGGCACATATTATGGCGGCCAAAAACACACCCTAAATGGGCCTCAGTCACATGTAAATTGCATACTTCCGGCAACTTAAATTGCGGACTTCGGCGACTACCGCCACCACCAAGAGTATCTCCCGCGCCGCTACGCGCGGCATAGAGTGGGGCTAAACTAGATGGCTGGGACTCACGAGCGGCAGCTACCGCATCTCCTGCAGCTTCCTTTATTTTATTTGCTCATGAGTCTCAGCCATCTAGTTTAGCCCCACTCCATGCTGCACGTAGCAACATGGGAGATACTCTCGGAGGTGGTGGAAGTCCGCAATTTACATGTGACTGAGGCCCTGTTAGGATGTGTTTTTGGCCGCCATAAAATGTGCTCGTTATTCGGAGGACAGCCGTAGTATTTTATAGTTTGTGTCAGTTAGCAAAGGATTTAACTGTGGTAATGATGATCAGATTAAGCCTGATGTTTGCCTTTGCACGTTTAGAAGTAGTTCATTTATTGGTAAACTAATAAAGACAAAATTAACAAATGTCATTTGTTGGGGACTCTCAAATTTCTGAATGGAAAGCAGTACTGTGATGATGTTCACAGTACAGGTTAAGAATGCATGAAGTAGGAATTTCGGCTCTCCTCCGAACGGCGTCATATTATTATGGCCGCCATGATAAATCCAAAAATATCCGAACGGGGCTCAGTTGTATTAAAAATATGCCGGCTCCGTATAACAAAACAAATGCTCTAACAGGGTTTCAGCAATATGTTACTTGCGGACATTTTCTGTGACTGTGCCTCACCGCCGACAGTATCCCCCGGGCCACTATGCGCGGCACGGATGGAGGCTAAACCAAGTGGCTGGGACTCACGAGCAGCAGCTACAGCATCTCCTGCAACTTCCTCCAGCTAATTTGCTCGTGAGTCCCAGGCACCTAGTTTAGCCCCCCATCCGCGCAGCGGCAAGGGGGATGCGTTTGGCAGTAAGTTTAATCGCATTTTGCGCTGTTTGTCTCGAAATTGTCAACGATCGCTAATATCGTCTGCAGACACGCTTGAAATTGTCAACGGTCGGTATTTATCGTCTGCTACTACCGTGTGCAATGTTGATATTGTCAAGTAATCCTAGTTTTGCCGCGATTTGTTACTTGGCAGAAAGTCCATATTTTAGATATGCCTGAGCCCCATTTGGATATTTTTTGATATTTTATGGCCACCATAATATTATGACGCTGTTCAGAGGAGAGCAGGAATTTCTTAATGAAAAGCAGTGCTTTGATACACAAAATAAGATGGTAATAACATAGTAGCACTTGAATGAAAAAAGCAGGTTAGGACATCAGAAATTGCAAAACAACAACAAAACAACAAAATCTGTACTATAATACACAAATCCTTTCTGTATTTCATGTGCTTGTTATAAATGAAGTGTTAACTCCTTCCAAACCATGACCAATACATGGTTAGAATTGCATGCACCATTATGATTACAGTGTTTAATTCAACAGTCACATTCATGGCCAAGGTTATTGTGCATTTCTTTATTTATTGTGATAATCAGTAAAAGCAGTCTTTCGCTAGTTATATCGCTTTTAATATTTTTCCATATTACTTCCCTTGAAATGGTAATTTAAAAAAAATTATATTTTGCTGTTAAATTCCTTCAAACCACATGTCTATATGTGTCTGAGACAATACATTAGTCCTCTATCCTCTGAATAACGGTCCCAAATTATCCTGGCCCAAAATATACCCTAACAGGGCCTCTGTCACATGTCAATTGTGGACTTCCTGCGACCTAAATTGCACACTTCTGGCAACTACCGCCACCGCCGCGAGTATCTCTTACGCTGCTACGCCCAGCGTGGATTGGGGCTAAACTAGATGGCTAGGACTCACGAGCAGCAGCTACCACATCTCCTGCAGCTTCTTTTTATTTGCTACGCACGGCATGGGAGATACTCTCGGCTGTGGCGGTATAGTCCCCGGAAGTCCGTAATCGACATGTGACTGAGGCCCTGTTAGGATATATTTTCGGCCTCGATAATTTGGAACCGTTATCCGGAAGATAGCCCACTTGTATTGTCTCCCAGACTGTTAAATACTGGTGTTGGTATTACAGGGGATGTCTCGGGTACACTTAGGGGCAGTAACTAAATATGCAGCAGCCGTGGAGACAAAGATGAAGTAGAAGAGGTGATATTAAATATAAGGTTTTAGTTAGACCCCTATTTCCACTAATCCGACATACAGGGAGACCAGGATGAGGCAGAGGTTGGGAGAATAAGATTTTCTTAAACTCTCCTGGGGAAAGCCGGGCAATTAAATCTAGTAAATAAATAACATAAATTTAAAAAGTTATAATAATACAATAATGAGGGCAGAACTGTATTTTAAGAGTTTTTTTTTTTGTTTACTGAAAAAGAGTTGTGATGTGGCACTTTGAACAGATACACACTTTGAACAGATTCACACTTTGAACAGATAGGTTCAACTTCATTTTGTCAATTTAAAAAAAAAATTTATATTTTTTTTTTGGTTTACAGAAAATATAAGAAATTAGTTTTGTTAATTAAAGTAAGTTTCTTTATTATGTACTGTCATGCCATTGTTTTACCAGGCTCCTAACTCTTTCGGTACCTTGGAATCATAAGAAGATCATTGGGTAGTCAATGGAAAAGACAGTGCACATTTCTGTCACAGACAGTTGTTATAAAAACTCATTATATCTGAAGTGTTAGTTTTATCCAATATTTGATGACTAGAATCGTCATGTAGCTTGTCCTTTGCAAAATGTCGCTCTCGTCATAGCCTGAAAAGGAAACTTGTTCTCTTCCCTAGATCTGCTGCCTTGTGCATATTCCTACCCAAGGTGTAAATGATATTCTGTGCCCATCTCTGTGCTCCTCAGCTCCTGCCCCTCTATCCTGGCACTATGCTTTCCGCTAACATTACATCCAGTTGCTTGATTTGGCCAAAATATATCAGTTTTCAAGACAAGATGCTGTTTACCAGCCAGTTCTCCTTGATGTTAAAATTCTTTGGTATTTTCTCTTTCCTTGGTTCATGGTATTCTGAGATCTGTGTATAGCATTGCAACTCAAAAGCTCTTCTTTTCTTCCTCAGTGATTCTGAGATAGTCCACAACTCACATTGGTGTGTTATTGCAGGGACCATGGTTGTATTTTAACATCTTTTGACTAGGACATTGATTACTTTAAAGTGGAACTTCTTGAGACAGAAGGAGTTAGAGTAATCACAGAATGATACCGAAAGAGTTAAGGAACGCCAAGAATAGTAGCTGTAACCCTGAGGGTTTTGCTGGAGAAGGAAGGAATGAATAGACCTACTGCCTGTCCTAACAAGCATGTCATGCAAGGTTACTTCTTCATCTTTGCGTTCACCAGCTGTAAACTCTGGTGGAAAGTTCTGGTTGTTCATCCACTTCTGGACTGCATTCCTGTTCCAGAACCTGAGTGTTGCGTGTGCATCTGTTTGACAGATCTGAAACATTTGTGTGCAGACTGTTGGTTCCTTGTCTCTCAGGCAGATGCACTCCAACTTCGAAGGAAGCTCCTAATTAGTTGACTCTTACGACAAGCTTCTGGATAGGCGCTTGTTTTCCCTTTAATAGGGCCCTGGAACCCGCACAGTGGAGGGGGGAGGGGCCAAGGTGACTAATTATGGATGTTTCTTTCCATGTTGGAGGGGATCTGCCTGAGGGTCGAGGAACCCTATAGGAAGAAGAACCCTGAAGCAAGAGAAGTTACAGTAGAACTTCTTGAGATAGAAAGTGTTGGAGTAATCACAGACTGGTACTAAAAGAGTTTAGGGATGTTTTTGCCAGAATAGTAACTGTAACCTAGCATGCATGTCATAAGAGGTCTCCTTCTTCTTCTTTACATTTACGGATTGTAAACTTTGGCGGAAAGTTCTGGTTGTTCATCCACCTCGGGACTTTAGGCTTGTTCCAGAACCTGAGTGTTGCATGCACATCCGTTTGTTTTGTAGATCCAACTTATTTGTATGCAGACTGTTGGTTCCTTGCTTCCCGGGCAGATGCACTGTGACTTCGAAGGAAACCCCTAATTACTCAACTCTTAAGACATGCTTGTTTGTAAGGTAGTGAAACTTTTTTTTTTTTTTTCCCCCACAGTGGGGCCCTGGAACACAGGGAGTCATAAGAGGCGACTAAGGAGGATTGGCGTGTAACTGGATAACGCTTCCAGTAGAAAACTGTAGCTGCAAAATCAAGCCAAGTCTACAAATGACTTGATGTGTGTTGGTTGAGGGCCTGTGCTCCACTGGGAGAAGAAAGCAGAAAGAGGAAGCATATACCTTAGGTATCATATTATACAAAGGGATGAATTCTAAAAAGGTGGAGTGAAGTAATAAGAGAAATATCTAGGCTTCTTCTTCTTCCTAATTCCATGATCAATTATTGCCTGGGTTCAGTTTCCATGGCAAACGGTTCAGAAAAAAAGAAGGTTGAATGAGAGTTGCACCGTGAAAAATATTGGGGCTCTACCACATAGTATTCATATTGAAATCAATGGATGCACTACAGCCAACCTCCACTGTAGAGACAGCACACATTTATATTATGTAATAATTATATATATATATATTTTTTTTTTTTAAAGTCATTTTATATTAATTGTTTATATTGTGCTTTTTGTTCGCCCACAGCCTGAATGGTTTTAGCACAGAAGATGACAGTCATTCTAACCGTGACCAAGTGTGTTGTCTCATAGACAGTAATGGGAAATGTCCAAGGCAAGCTGGCAATGCCAGTTACAACAAGCGTATTCAAAACCAAGCACGGAAGTTAAAGTTAACTAGAGATGAGAAGGTATGATGTTGTGATCACCAGTTGTTTTTTTCTGCCATTATAATACTTGCCTCTAGTATTTTCATTCGGTGGCACTGATACCTTCAGATTCCTTATTCTTCTTTGTTTATCATATATTTCATTTTGGACATGATTACTTTGTGTCTACAGTAGAGCTGTGATGTTTGTACCTTTCAGTTGACATTTCCAACATTTTGGCCATTTGTTGACCAGGTTAGCTTCTCCAGGAGTTATTTTATTGCCATTTTTTTTTTTACTTCTTCATTGTACAGTCCCCACAGTACACATGTTACATGGGACCACAAACACCTAAGCACATTCTGCAGGCCTGCCCATTCACAACTACAAAAAGAAACTTGGCTTCAAGAGCAAGGTGTACAGAGCAAGCTGTTGGGAACCATGAAGGACCTGCAGCTGACATGAAAGTTCATAGAGGTACCCCACCTGACAGTCTGACCTGAACATATGAAACCAAACCAAAGAAGAAAATGATGTTTTATTTTACTTAGAAGTATTGTACCATGTTATGTTATTAGTGTCATTGCACACTGGGAATTCCCTGGAAGCTTAGTGCTCCAATGTAGCAGCAGCCCCAAAGTGCCTTTACTGATTGTTGTAATAAGAAACTGCTTCAGTGTCTCCTATCTTGCCATCGAATACAGCCCTAATCCGAGGTGATGTAGTTGAGTTAGCCTCAGAAGTTTATCATTATCCACCAGACTAGTCTAAATAGCATTGATCTTTTTCTTCTTCTTCTTTCATTCGCTTGAAATAATCTAAATATGCAATGCTGTCTCTAAAATAAACTTCACTGTCTTTTTTAATTCACTTAGCGACCTGTAATGTTTGGCTTCTACCAGTGTCTCACTTGGTTAGAAGTTTTGCCTGGAAATGTTGTGTTTGGGACAAACTATTTTTGTATAAAAACATATAAAGTTAGAAACTATACAAATTCTATTGGCACCTTTCCCTCTTTGCAGACAAAAGTTAAATTTTTCTATTAGGAGACATGGGAAACACAGCTTGTAAGAGCAATGGAGGTCAGGGATGTACTTACCTTCTGCAAAAGCTGCCAGATCAGAAGAGCAGTGAGTTCCATCAGTCTGTCTATCGGTGCTTCCCTCTTAGACTAGCTGCCAGCCAAGGCTAAGGACCTGGTCTGTGTCATAATATTAAGTTTTCTGGTTGCATTTTCTCTTCCTAGGATAAGGCTAGTCTCCTCCCCAGTGTGCTTCTCAACCCAAAGCTGCTGGCACAATGTGGGATATCAGGTTTGGTATAAAATTCTCCCCGTGTGGGTTCCAGGGCCCCATTGCTGAGAAGACAAGAATAGACCGACTGCCTCCCCACAAGGCATGTCGTAGGGGTCAACTAACTGTGGGCTTCCTTCAGAGTCGGAGTATATCTGCTAGAGAGGCAAGGAACAGTCATTTGCACACAAATAAGCCAGTAAAACAGTTGTACACGCAAAACTCATCCCCTGGCATGAAATCAAAGTCTTAATGGATGAACAACCGGAACTTTCCGCCGGTGCTTACAACCAGTGAATGAATAAGAAAATATAAAATTGACTAGTCTTGTAATGATATACTGTATTTATATCCTATTTAGAGCTCACACATCTACATCTGTGACTATCACAAGACTCAGATACAGAATCTGAGGACAAAACGGAAGCGTAAAGACAGTGAAGATGATCAGATGCAGTGTGGAGCTGAAGAAATCATGGAAGTATGTATATTATGTTACCGAATAGTTAAGGGCCTTTTTTACGCAAGTGGTGCATTGGGCATATGATGCTAGACTCTGATAGATATTTTTATAGGCCAGTCCTCACTTGGTGAGTGATATGGTCATCACACTAGCTGCTTTTACTTCCAGGGCATAGTTGAGTACAAAATTAGGCTCCCAATGGAGCAGTTATGGGCTGTACAAGACTCTCAATGTCTCTTAGCATCTGTTGCTCAAGCCCGCCTTACCTGTATGTGGTGGGCCCTGCTCACCCCAAAAATGAAGTGGGAAGTTGGGGTCTCACCCCCTTAGCTGGAAACTGGATTAAACAACAAACGAGATAAATGCAAGACCCCATTTCCACCGGCCAGCTACTGAGTTAGTACAGTTGATATGGCCCGCAGAGGCCTAGCAAATGATCCACAGATCATTGCCAGTTATGTTGTATTAATGATCTTTCTATGCTGGGGCTCAAGCTTCTGGCCTCTGAAAATCTCCATTTCCAACATTTTGACTCCTGAGGGAACTTAGTGGAATAGCCCTGTCGTATTGGTTCCTAGTACCCATTGTGTACAAGGAAAGAAAAGAGCTCCCCCCACCAACAAGCATGTAATTAAAAGGCAGCTAATTGGGGAGTGTTTTCTTCAGAGTCGCAGTGCATATGCCTGAAGGGTGAGTTGTAGGAAAAGACCAAAGTCCAAAAGTGGATGAATAACCATAACTTTCTCACAGAGTTTACACCCACTAAGAAGAGAAGAAGAGTTAAATTTGTCTTTAATTTAATTTACACAGCTAGAATTATTGTTGTTGAATATAATTCTTAAAAGCGATATAAATCCTATCCTGATATATAGCTGTGAATCATGGACAGTTGGTAGATTTGTGAAAAATTATTTGGAAGCTGTGGAGATGAGGTTTTATAGCTAAATGATGAGAATACCCTGGGCAGATTTAAAAAGAAAAGTAATGAAGATGTCTTGAAAGAAACTGACTCATGAAGAGAACTGATCGCCCACATCAGAAGAAGACAATCTTCATTCTTTGGTCATGTCATGAGAAGGAGAAAACTGGAGCACATCTCAACAGTGGGGAAGTTGGAGGGAAAGACAGGCAGAGGGGGTCCGAGAAAACAGATGATGAACAATTTGACATGGCGTGGAAGATCATCTGTGTCAGAATTGATTGAAAGTACAGGAGACAGAAGGTTGTGGATTACATGACTACCAACGCCACACGGCATGGACCACAAGAAGAAGGATTATCATTATCAAGTGCCTTGCCAGCTGTTGCGTTCATTCATGCATCTCCACAGATCTCGGTCTTTGGTGTTCTGAATCAGTTCCACTGATGATATTGCTCCATGCCACTGTCTTAAGCCATCATTTCCCTTGGTCTTACTCTGCCTCTTCTACCAGTGATCTTTCCAGTCATCACAAGAAGAAGAATTTAATTAACAACACTGTTACACCTATGCAGTGTACTTTTACTGTTTATATTCATGCATCGTAGGGTATCTCATCTGCAGTTTGTTATCAGTATAGTCTACATGTTTGTTCTAGATTGATTTCTACCAGATGCCAGTTAACACACTGAGACGGTACAAGAGATATTACAAACTGCCCACTCGACCAGGACTGAGCAAGGCTCAGTTGGCTGATGTGAGTAATGTATTTTTTTTTAAAACAGTCTTCTTCTTCTTCTGTTTTTCATCTCCCAGAGGAGCACGGGCTCTCTGAAAAATTACCCTGTATTCTTTTAAGATTCATTCATCATTGGTTTAATTTTGCATTTAGATGTATAAGATTGCAGTCTCACACCAAAAACTCCTTAATTGCCTCTAAAAACATGCTTGATTTTGTGCTTTTTTATAAAGCCTTGTGGTAACACATAGGAAGAGTAAAACTTTACTGGCTTCATTTTGGGGGTTGGGGAATTATTTCTTCTTCTTCTTCTTTGCGTTCACTGGCTGTAAACTCTGGCAGAAAATTCTAGTTGATCGTCCACTTCTAGACTTTGGTCTTGTTCCAGAATATGAATTTTGCATGCACATCCATTTTATGGATCTGGTATATTGGTATGCAGACTGTTGGTTCCCCCTCTCTCAGGCAGATGTGCTCTGACTTCACAGCAAACGACCCTAATTAGTTACCTTTCACAACATGATTGTTAAGGGTTTTTGATGACAAAAAATCTTTGGGCAGTGGCCAGTAAGCTTGTATAACAGCTCTGGTATTGTTGCAACTGCTTAGTGGGGATGATTTTATATATATATATATTTATGATGCAGTAGTTAGCAGGGGAGTGGGTTTGCTCTGTGGTCATAAGTTTCAACCACGTGGATTTTTATAAACAAATGACCAAGGCTCAAAATTTATTCTGCTTCTTCTTCTCGTCCACTAGTATTTTAGGTTACAATTTTAGAGAATTATAATGAGACATTTCTTTTTTTTAAACGAAATTTTGAAAGTTCATTTGAGAGTTCATTAGAAAGATTTGAGAAAACTGGTGTTATACCTGCTGTTTTCAGTATGGCCTGACTGATGATTGGCAGCTTTCTGTCTTACCTGCATAGCACAAAGCTTGGGCAGTATTGTAGAGACCAAATTTCGCCCAAGCACTATGATCCCTCACTCGACCTGCTTTGTTTACTACAAAAGAAAGGTAATACAAGTACCTGACTAGATAAACCATAAATGCATCACATAACAAGTTCTTTCATTGACTTTTGCAGGCAGTGGCTAGTCACTTCAAGACCATCCCTGTGATGGAGAAGGAGACATTACAGTTGTTTTTCTACACCGCCAAAGCAAAGAAGTTCGACAATAAGGACTCATCTTAGGCTTGCTGTCTGTCATAAACATGCTGGTCTAATTTGCAATTTATTTAAGCCAATCTGACTGTGCAGTTGTTAGAAAAGAACCATGATTATATTTGGTTCATTTATGATGTATTGAAGGTTTTTAATTGTCTGCTATGGTACAAACTTTAATGTTTTTCAAGGTAAGTCAGCGTAATCACTTTTAAAATGTATTAATTTATTTTTATGGGTTCAGGTCCTGACAGAGCCAGACTTTAAAAAAAAAAAAGACTCACTTACCCTCTGGTGTAGCCGTTATGGCTGCCGTAATTATAACTTCTGAGGAATTTTTGCCCTGGATGGGTTCTTGGAAAAACAAGAATAGACCCACTGCTTACCAAAAAAGCATGTCGCAAGAGTCGACTAATTGGGAGCTTCTTTTGAAGTCGGAGTTCATCTGCCTTAGAGGCAAGGAACCAGAAGTCTGCATGCAAATGAATCAGTTCTGTGAAACGGATGTTCATGCAACACTCAGTGTATGGGACAGGACTAGAGTCGAGAAGAGGAGGAACAGCCTCCTCCTCCTTCTTTTTCTTCTTCTTTTTCCTCACTGTCTGTAACTCCAGCAGAAAGTAGGGTTATTCATTTACTTCTGGACTAGTCTTGTTCTAGAACTTGACTTCTTTGTGCCCATCCATGGCTTATTTTGTGCAGACTGTTGGTTCCTTGCCTCTCATGCTGATGCACTGACTTTGAAGAAAACACCTCCAGGTAATCAGCTTTTATAACATCTTTGCTAGGGGACAGTGGATTATTCTTTTTTTCTTCTTCTCCACATTGAGCCTTGGAACCCACACGGGGAAGATTGGCCTCGTAAGCTATAGCTATCCTGGTTTCATGGATAAATCAACAGGTCGGCATTTTGTATTTATCATATAGGAATGCTGCCCATGTGGGGTTCGGGCTTCCATTGCGGGGGGGGGGGGGGGGTGGAATAGACCCACTACCTTCCTTACAAGCAGGCTGTAGGAGGCAAGTAGTTGAGGTTTTTTTTTTTTTTTAAAGTTGGAATGCATTAACCCAAGAGGCGAAGAGCTACCACTCTGCATACGAGTAAACCAGATCTGTAAAACGGATATGCATGTATGCAAAACTCAGGTTCTGGGGAAAGACCAAAGTCCAGAAGTGGGTGAATAACCAGAACTTTCCACTGGGGTTTACAGCCAGTGAACATTAAGAAAAATAAGAAGATAAGTCGGCGTGCATAGGAATGTCTTCACAGACATATTTATATGTGAGAAAGAGATAGCAGAGTGCAGGCTGAGAGGACGGTTGATTTATTCTTACATATGTTCATATGTCCTGTAGTGCTGGTAACACATACAGGGTCTTCTGGACTTGCGACTGAATTCTGTTCCAACTAGCAGGTCATAAGTCGAACTGGTCGTAAGTCAAATTTATATTTTTCAACACAATTTTGATTCAAACGGGTTAAATATATTGTACATAAACCACAAAATTTAATCTTTGTACGTATATTTATTTTACGTAAGCATATGTGTACACTCTAGGTATCAGTTCCGGGAACTTTTCAACACTACAAATGTAGTTATCTCTCTTTATTGATTATTTTTATTTGTAATTTTTGTGTGATCTTAAGCACAGATGGTTGCGTGCGTAAGTCATAAATCGAGAAGGTGTACTGCTTTGGTCATGCACATGTGTGTCTGTTGAAGGAGGGGGGGGGGGGGGGGGTAGAAAAAGGGCATGTGTGTATGAATTAGGGACTTAACGAATGAATTAGAATGAAAATAAAAAAAAAAAAAAGTTTTTGCACTTGCATTTGAATTGCTTACACGTATCGCTTTGCTAGGCACTGCACATGTGTAAGAGAAATGGGAAACATCAGAGATAGAGAGAGAGCAGGTGAGAAATGAATTTATTCTCCCATGCACACAGTACTGATGGTCACAAATCCTTCTTAGTCAGGTGCTGTACGTGTATGTTTCTATAAGAGAGTGCCAGTGTATATCACATAGTGCTTTTATTCTTGTCTAGTGTGCATTATTGCTGGTTGCATATACTATTTATTTAGGTACTGTACTTATGTGTTTGTTGCCGTCTGTGGCTTGGCTGTTGCGAATGTGCTTCATAATGCTGGGGTGTCGGGTTCGATCCCAGCTATGGACGATTTGTCTTGCGTTGGTTTTGACAGTGGTACAGAGAGCTGATAGTTCAGTAAGCAGCGGCAAACTATTGAATGTAACATGTGCCTACAAAAAATCCACAACTGCCAAAAAAATGCTGAGGCTTGTTCTGCAGTCTCCTGTAAAGGATGCGCAACTCATTATCATCATGTAGCAGGTCCTTTGCAGAACGTCGCTCTCATCATCACAATCTGCCTAAAAGAAACTCGGTCTCTCGCCAGTTCTCCCACCTCATGTACTTTCATACTCAAGAAATCACTTATAACCTGTGCCCATCTTCGTATCGATCGGCCCCTGCCCCTCCTTCATGGTACCATGCCTTCTGCTATAATTTTTTTAAAATCCGTCTTGGCGCTTGATATGACCAAAATATTTCAGCTTCCGAGACAGGATGCTGTTTATTAGCCAATCTTCCTTGATGTTCACATCTTTCAAGATGTCAGTATTTCTCCTCTTCTTTGTCCAAGATATTCTGAAAATCTTTCTATAGCATTTCAGCTCAAAAGTCCCTATTCTCTTTCTTAAGGACTGAGTGATAGTCCACGACTTACATCTGTATGTAGCCACAAGAAAGATGCACGCTCTTAAAATTCTAATTTTGATCTCCTTGCTGGTGCTTAACCATAGACTTTTAAGGCAGTGCTAAGGCCATCCTCCTTTTAATTTCTGTCAAACAGTCTCCATTGATGTTTATTATAGAGCCTAGATATTCAAAGTTTGTGACATTTTTAATTACTTCATCATTTATTGTTATTTTTGGGTGACAGCCAGTTTTATCTGTGGGTGCACAACTAACTGTTTTTAAAATTATGTGTTTGGGAGCTGCTTTGGTGTAGGGGAACCAAGGGTCATGGGTTTGATCCTTATGGAGCCAGACTTGTTTTCAGAAATGACTTTGGCCCATAGGTTGTCACAGCCTTAAATGAGTACAAGGTCAAGTTCTGGAAGTGTCCTCTGTCTTTTTTAGACATTTCTCTTACAAATCTTTCCGTCCTTTTTAGGATGAAATTTTTCTTTATTTGAAGTTCTACTCTGGCTTTGCCAGAGTCGGCAATATAGCCTGGTCATAAATATGGCCTAAAAGCTGAACGCGGTTTCTGGGACCTCTCCACGGTGATCCTCACCCACATGGTGGCACATTGTGTCATCGGGTGTTTATCGTGATGTCCTGGTGGGGTAGAAAGTCAGTCAGTCAGTCAGTTCTGGAAAGTAATGGTGGCCGGTGTGGAAAGGGGTCCTTTGACGTGTTTCTGTATGTGAGGGAAATTGGGAGAGCTTTTAATTATTACAAATATTTGCATGAACAGTATCTTTTTATAATCCATACCATGTGGCATTGGTAGTCATGTCTGCTCACAACCATCTCTCTCATATACTTTTAATACCTTCTCACAGAGATCATCTTCCATGCCATGATGTCAGCCTATTTAGCATCTTCTCCCTTGGTCTCCCTCTGCCCCTCTTCCCCTCCAACTTTCCCCACCGTCACAATGTGCTCCAGTGTTCTCTTTCTCATGACATGAACAAAGAATGTAGATTGTCTCCTCCTGATGTGGGCAATCATAAGTCAGTTTCTTTCTAGACTTCATTACTCTTTTTATCAGTCCAGAGTGTTATCATCATTCTCTGTAAAAAACACATCTGTGTGTGCAGTATGCTGGTTACAGATACTACTTAGGTACTGTAAATGCATGATAAAGAAAGTAAGCTTGTGGATATCATGTATGAGAGAGAGAGAGAGAGAGGGGGGGGAAGAGAAAGGAAGAAAAAGTGCGAGAGAGGTTTCATAATTATTTCATGCATTTATGTGATCGTAATCGTGCTGGTAGAAACTGCCTACTATAATATTAACATTTTGTTTTACTGAAATAACAATTGTGCGTTCACACAAAAAAGAGTTGAAAAGAAAGTAAATAAATACAATTATTTCATTACATGTTGATGTTAGTTGTTGTGTCTAGAGGTTAGTTAAACTTAGTTGTGTATCCTTCACAGGACATTGCAGAACCAACACCAGCATTTTTTGTTTGGCTGTTGTGGTTTTTTTCTAGGCAAATTTACATCCAGTAGTTAGCCATTCCTTTCTGGACGGTCGGCTTTTCGATACCACTGTCGAAACCGGCGCAAGGCCTGCAGCTAAGGTTGAACCTGCACCCCAGCATTACGAAGCTCATTCGCAATGCCTACGCCTAGATGTTTCTAGAGGTAATGGAGAATTATTAACTTATTTCACATTTGTTTTAAAAAGGGCGGTTGACATGTTGTGATGTTGTTTCAGCTAGGCTGTGACAACTGCACTTTTCGGCCCAACATATTAGAGATCACATCTGCACCCGGCAGATTTTATTACCTTTGACTTGGTCAATCCCTCCCAAGAAATATGGGAAGTAAAGGCAATTGCCATGATTTAAACCACATAATTAATTGAGAACCGATTAATTCATAAAGAAATTCTTCTAGCACCATATATCTTGCGCACATAAGGCCTAAAAGGTCCTTTTTTTTTTTTAATGATTTACTAAAATATAGTTGTTCCCAGTGGGGGTTCCGGGCTTTATTTTTTTAGCTGGGAGTGGGCGGTGGGGTAAACCGTGACCTACCATAGATCTAAAGTATGTCATAGATGGACACACTACCCCCCTAACAAGCATACCATAAAAGTCTACTAATTGGGGTGCTTCCTTCAAAGTCGGAGTGCATCTGACTGAGAGGCAAGGTTCCAACAGTCTGAATACAAATAATCAAGATCTGTTAACGAAGGTACACGCAACTCTCAAGTTCTGGAACAAAGACCACAGTCCAAAAGTGGACGAACAACCGTATTCTCCACCAGAG